TTACTCAAAGGATCATTTCCTCTATTTATTGAGAATATCCACAATTTGTCGCACAGAATTGTGTTCAATCTTTTAGAAGAAAATGGACAGTAAAATAGCTAGTAGATTGTCCCAAAACAGGTCAGACAAGCACAGAACGTGGCGAGAATACAGACGGGGGATTTTAATTTTATCTTTATATTCAAAGCTCGCGTTTCGTCTCCAGGGACCGCTCAATTTATCGAGGTGATCGAATACTAATAAGCTCAAGTAGAGTATTCCTGACGAGGTCGGACAAGCTTCGAATGTAGCTAGAATATCGAAGGAGGAGGGATCATTTTATCGTCATATTCGAGGCGTCATTTTGCCAGCCTAAACTGCGCGATTTTATCGATGCGATCAAATACGAACGGCTGCCAGTGGAATATTCCCAATCAGGTCAGACGAGCTTAAACTCTAGGCAGAATAAAAATGAAATATCTCACATTTCCGACGAATACTTTTCATCTTTCAACATTCTCGACTTAGGACGCGATTATTTATTAAAGAAACGTTAAGAATTAATTTATATAAATTTCACAGGCTCTTCGGTTAAAATAAACTCAGCAGTCACGGAAATTGCTTCGGCAAGAGATCAAATTCTAACATCATTCATATACCCAGCGGATAAAATTTCCTTCGAATTCCCCAATTTCCATTCGCTCCATTTCTGATCTTCATCTGCATATTCATGGGAATCATATCTAGCTCGAGGAGCCTTCCTCATAGCGTTTCCCTGGGAAGCTTCGAATCCAGATGAAGACGCTTCTGATGATCTCCAATTCTTCCATTCTCATTTTCCCTTGTATAGGTCTTCCTCTTCGCGGCCGGGCAACTTCGTTTCCACTTCAATAACCGCGTTTCATTGGATCTTAAACAAATTCCGGACATCGTGTTCCCTTCTTTCCTTCGAAAACAAAATTCTATCGTCCTCGAAGTCGCGATGATTACATTTCACACGTTCCTACTTTAATCTCTTCGAGTTTCAATCTCTGTTTCTTATACCTAAACACTACTAGTAATGTCTAAACAAATCTCTTCTCAAACTTCATACAATATTAACCCCTTGGCTTATTGTTTACCTTCGTTACTGAGCTCGTGGAGCATTCTACTATCGACAATTTGGAAGTGCAACGAAATTTTCTGTAATTTAAGTGGAAATATCATTTGAAGAGAATACATTGATAATAGCAAAATCGTTTGCTTTGATCCGTGGGGAACGAATAACATTGAGTTTTGTTAAATTAATCTGGAAATCATCGCGAGTTCACTCGTCATTGTATGACAAGGGGTTAACAAACATCTTCAACCCTAATCAGACCACGATGTGACTTCGAGTCACATTTGGACTTTTTACTTAAATTTTTTGATTATTTCATATTGCATTTCCGGAAGTTTTTTTCAGCTTTTCACATTTGAACCCTATAAACAGAGACAATGACATTTTAATCGTTACTTTTATTCTCATAAGTGACTGAATCTCATCGTGGTGTGATTCGTTATAAAAACACGTGGTACGATTGGGGTTAACGAAATCTTTTCAATAAAATCCGTAAAATCGCTAGTGAAAATTCTCAATGAAGAAATGTTATCGTCTCTAGGATATGATCAAACACGATACAATGGAACACGAAATTTCCTTGAAACCGTTCGAACCCCATTTCCTTGTATCTGGACCACCATTCTGGAAAAATCCTCGAATGGCAAGATGTCATTGGGACTTAGAAGACCCTGCGCCCCGCGAGAGAAGCGGCTTCGGTATCGAGCACCGTCGGGAAAAGACAATGCGCGTTTTCGTGTTGGTCGCGCAGCTCTCGGAACCGTGTCACGAACTTTGCCCTTTTACGCTCTGCCCATTCCCGGCCGTAGCTCCGGCTACGCGTGATCACACGTGTAGAAGCGTGCGGACGATTACCTTTTCAATGGGATTTATGATTGAAGATTTTCTTCTGTATAAACATATTCAAAGTCTGCTCATGTTTTATTATTTTTTGCATGCTCTGTTTAAGTTTCACTGAAACATTCTCTGGGATTCAGTAGAAAACAAATCAAGATAGAGGTAGATAAATGATTCTTCAGAATCAACGTGATATTCCAAATTAGTAATCGAAATGCTTCCGTTAATGTTTCAGAAATTCTAGAATATAGTAAAATTTATATGAGAATTAAATGAATCAAGTAACAACTCGAACTTATCAAAGATTGTTCGTAGAAGATAAAACATACAATGTTTTTCAAGAATGTAAATCTTCAAGAATGTTATTACAAGAGTATAGTTACAATTGCAATATTCCTTTCTATCAATTATTATGAAAAGAGCACTGCATTAGTACACGTACATACTTGTTTTCTATTATAATAATAATTGAGTGTATAGTATTTAACATATTACACTTAGCATTTTGTGACCATATCCTTTATTATATGGTACGGGCTCAATTAACCAAAAACGACCTGGCAACTTTTGAACCTATTTTCTATAATTGTCCATATTTTTACATTCTTTCCAGAATGTATAGTATTTAACATATTATTTTTAGTATTTTGCGGCTATATCCTTTATTATATGATCGGACTCAATTAACCAAAGACGACCTGGCAAATTTTGAACCTACTTTCTATCATTTTTCACATTTTTACATTCTTTCCAGAATGTATATTATTTAACATATTACACTTATTGTTAGTATTTTGTGGCTATATCCTTCATCATATGGTAAAAGCTCAATTAACCAAAGACGACCTGCGATCTTTTGAACTTATCTCCTACAATCTTCCATATCATGTACGTTCCGTGCAATTTTGCAACGCGAAATACTCTAGAAATGCATGAAGATCCACAGTCTATAAGAATGAAGAACCTACTCTCATACTTCGCAACATCGACGAAGCCAGACACGTGCGGGCAGAGTGTGGGCAGCATCGGAACATTATGGAGCACACGGGACGAAGGTCGCGGGGTTCCGCGAAACGCCGCCGGCTCCGGTTTCCGCGGAAGTTTCGACGCTGCCGCGCGGTTCCCACGCGAGACATGAATCTTTCCCAGGCCATTAATGGCCCGTCCTCACGTGGGCGTCGCTTTAAATCAATAACGAGACGATGGCTCGGATGAAAAGAGACCTATCGGGCAGGCCGCGTGACCGCGTCGCGACTGTTCTCGAAAAGAAACCCATTGTGCACGCGCCCGGGACTCGTTTTATTCGTTAGCGAGGGTGGAGGCCGCATGAAAAACGATCCCGAACGACCGAACACCGGGAAACAAGAGTTTTATTCGTTCGAAACGCGGATTACTCCGTTTTTAAAGCCCGGTCGTGTTGGATAGTAGCTGGCTGCAAGTAGATTACCTCTGAACAGGTCAGCCAAGTTTTAGAACTGTCCGGTGAAATATTTTTCGTCGACGAAATCGATTTATTGCGAGATGATGCAGCTATTTTTGGAAGAAATGATTGAATCAGTAGTTAGACTTTAGTGGATTGTTCCTGAGATAGTCAGACTGATGCTGGAATACAAGTTTTAAGGAAGTTTACTTTTGATCGATTATTTACTTCGTTTAAATTGAAATGGTTTTCTAAATATATTTACCAATCAATAACGGAGGAATGTATTTGTACAAAATCACTGAGCCACAAATTAATTAGCCACGGTCCAGAAGTTTTCTAAAAATCCTTGTGAAAAATTTATATCTGGCTCTGGGTCAGAGGAACGTTTCATGTTTTCTAAAGCATTTTATATATTCGTATATTCATTTTCGTGGATATTCTTCTTACTTCCCGTGTATTTTCACGTGGAACGTGCGCAACGCCGGAAATTTTTCAAAGGGGAAATTCCCGTGGCTGTTCTCCACGCGAGGAAAACGATTCTCGAGCAGTAAGTAGATCCGATGCAGAGTGGAGAGGAAAAAAGAAGGAGGAACGCGATCAGATTAGTCGTCCCAGAGGCCGGTTCCGCATTCAATGAATGCTTATGCAAATCTCCTCGTGAAAACTCGTCCGGCCGCTTCAAGATTTCCACTCGCTTCTAATCCTCCCCGACAGATGCATCTCACTGCATTGTGCCCGCCGCTGCACTTCCACCATTCAATTTCCTTTTTCGTCGGAGATCGGGGAAAGAGATTAACAGCGGATTAAATATCGCGAGAATCTTTCGAAATGCCCGCGACACCGGTCTTTAAGATTCACTCGCCTGCTTTCGCGCTTTCGTGGGTTCAAACTCTTCTAATTGCTTCTATCTCGAGATTGAATGAAGTATTAGAAATTTGACACTGAAATTACAAGATAAGAAGAATGACCCATTTCTGACTGCTTTTTTCGCAATTATTAAAGATAACGGATGTTACTCTGAGAAATTATTAAAGATATTCATTTGTTCATACACAAACCGAATTGTATCAATTAAAGTCTCATAGATACACTCTTGGAGTTCCTATACAGAAATGTCATTATAATACAATTAACCCTTTGCACTCGAAGGTTCTTGCCTGGAAATATTCAAAATTTTCCAACGAGTTATAGTCGACATCGTTTGAAACTAATTCAACGATAATTCACAGATAAATTAAGCAACAAAACTATGTTATCTAAATATTTCACGTAGCAATAGAAAGTTTCATTTAAAATACTAAATATTCACTTCATAATTTTGCAGTGTCAAATCGAATGGTGAGTCAGAGTCACCTCTCGAGTGCAAAGGGTTAATAATAATATTATTATTAATATTAATAATAATAATAATAATTCTTATAACTAAATTTAAATGTACTTCGAAATTCGGACCCAAAATTTCGAGAATACTACGAAGAATTCTTTAAGTTTCTAAAAAGACTCGTGAATGCCAGGGATCTTATTAGAGAAGAATCTCGTTTCTAGAAGAATGCGATTCGTTTGATCGATACGAGTATTGGTAGAAAGTGTTGTATGTATTAACACGAAGATCGGCTTGTTTAATAACGTTTGAGATTTGTAAAAATGGATCATTGGTTTCAGGGCCACCGAGGGCGGTCTAGCACCGGATGCAGCTGCAGCCGCGGGTCCGGGCGCAGGTTCCGGTGAAATCGTCGGGGGTCCCAGGACGCCTCAGCAGACCGCGGCGCAAAAACGGCTGCAGGCGACGCAGGCGCAGGTCGACGAGGTCGTCGACATCATGAAAACGAATGTCGAAAAAGTCCTGGAACGTGATCAGAAGCTCTCCGAGCTGGACGATCGAGCAGGTGAGAGAGATCGATGCCGATCATCCCTTCTGATCGTTATTCCTTGAGTCGATCATCCAAGTACACCTTGAAGATGCGGTGGAAATAACAAATTAACAAGATAACAAAACTCTTTAGCCCCTTGCCGTACAATACGTTTCTAGACTAATTTAACAATCAATGTTGTTTTATTACCCACGGATCAAAGCGACTATTTTTCTATTATCAATGTATTATTTTCAAATGAAATTTCCACTTGAAGTAGAATGGAAAATTTTCTTGCATTCCTTCCACATTGTCGATAGTAAAATATACGAGCTTAGTAAATAGTACGCCAAAGAGTTAACAAAGCGTTAAAAGAAATAATGGAATAAAATCGAGAAAAAGAAACTCTTAAGCAATATAACAGAACTCTTTAACAAAGTCTCTAAGAGAAATAACGTGAAAAAATCAAGAAACCTTTAGTTCAGGGTTTCTAAGACTTTCAAGACTTTTTTCTAACGTTTATTCTATCAGGCAAAAGATAGGTAGATTTTCAAAGATTCACTGTAGATAGTTTCATACTGAAGACGTCACACACGTTCCAATTCGACTAAATTAGACGACAGAGTGGTGGCATATATAAGTACACACCATTCGCGAAGGATTCAAACCCAGAAGAACGCAACTAGAAGGGAACTTCGCCTCTCTCCCGCTTGCCAATTATCAAAAGATAATTCTATCGTGTATCCATTGTCGATTATACTGGAACGAGTACCAGAACCGTCCCCTTAGAATTCAGAACGTGACGGTGTTACGTAAAGGCAGGAAGGTTGCCAGGGCGCGAGGGGGGAGATCCGCGAACAAATGAACACGGCCGAGTTGTTGTGAATGAACAGAATGTGTTCGAGGCGCGGCGGGAGAGGGATGAGGGTGGCTGGAGAACGGAACGAGGAGAGAGGGAGGAAGATGAAAGATAGTGGGAGGAAACAGGA